GTCAGATTCCTTCAGGTACTATATTAAAAAAAAAAAATCAAAAAAAAAAATTGTAGGATTGAAAATCAAATCTATCAAGCAGCGCTAGTCAAGCAACTTGTCAGCCAGTCTGACTAAAGTAAGATGAAAATTATCTTCAAGGATGGTCTTGAAGACCAAAAAAACACTGAATGAATACAAAACTCTTTCTGGGACAGTTATTGTTGAAAACCTCATATTTTAACATGGATGTACTACAGGAGAAAACCTGCAGTGTTTCCCTGCAAGAAAATTTTACGTTTGTTCAGGCTGTCATAGACTGAAAAATATTTAAAAATGTCTTATTTTTTATTCATTGATTGTCTTTAATGCTTATATAGGGATCCCAGACTTCAGAAGCATATTTGTCTATCAAAGATGCAGCACTTGTGGTGCAAATGTCAGTCCTTGAACATCCTTCCTTGCCCCCATTATTTGAGAGTGTGCTAAGATAAAAGGAGTCCTTTTCTCTTATGCCTCTTTCCTCCCTAGTCTTGCTTCTCTTAAAACCAGAATAATGTGAGTTAGTGGCAAGTGCTATGACCATCTTTCAGGGTTTACCCTGAAAAAAATAGATTCATGTTGTTAGTACATTTTCTTGGTAAGGCTGCTGCTGGCCAAGTGAAATTGCAAGTGTGTTTCCATTTGACAGGGTTTGGAATGACCTTTGCTCATTTTCCACAGGATTTTCTGTGGAACATTTACCGTAGCCATGTTTATCAAAGTAGTTTTTTTTCAGATTTTCCACTTTTTTGAAGTCCAGTGTTTGGCCTGAGAAATACTTTGTTAGTAAACGAAAGACACCAGAAACTGTCAAAGGTTAAATGTGCAAGATAAACACATGCAGCAAAAGTGCTGTTAGTAATATTAACATTTTGGAAAGTAAGAATGGATCAGAGATGTGTTTTTGAAGAAAAATTAATAAACTTTTCATTAAGAAAAATATTTTATCTTGCATAAATTTGACCTGAGCTAAATTTGAACTGCCCTGGAGAAAGCAAAAATCTGTGCCACACCGTGGAACATCCAAACTAAGCAATCCCTCAGATAAAAGATTTAGCACAAAGTTAGTTTTAAACTAAAGAAGACCAGCACTTTAATCTTTTTGCTTGATTTCCCCTTCAAACACAGTCATCCATTTAGTTCCCTGCTGTCCTCATGAAGAATTTCCTTACGATGAAATCAGGGTTCGGAGATTTATTATGCAACGAGCAGAGCAGGTTCAAGCTGATAAAGGCTTCCTGGGTGAGTGAAGGATGTTTAATGCCAGGAAAGATACTCTTTTAATGTGAGGTTCTTGACCATTTATTACATAAAAATGTTAATCTGATAGTGTTTTTAATCTGCTTGTTATCAGCGGTGGCTGCTTGGTGTTAAAGACAAGATAAAAGGCCGAGCTGAAGAAGCAGATTTGGGGAGCACTGGCTCAGTTAACATGCCGGATGCAGCACACCTGCCTCCCATTTATCTGCTCCTCCAGAGTGAGGAGGAGAGGGATTAGGGCTGCGATAAGGCACAGCTTGGTGGGCTGATTGGGCAGCGGAGTGCGCGCGCTGAAAGGACACTGCGCCAGAGATAAGCTGTGATAAATGTTGGGACAGTCATTTCCCAGGAAGCTCTGCAGAGAAGAGGATTTGCTTTACATGCCGTTTCGAGGGGTTCTCCAAAAGCAGAATATTTAATCCCTCCTTGCCCATCCACATCTCCCTCCCGCCTCACAAGCTGCTGTGTGACCTGCAGACTTTATAAATCCAAACTTCCTGCAGATTTTGAGTCCGTGTTGTGCCCTGGGCTTGTTCCACTAATGTATGGGCTGGTCCTCCCCGTGAGATCTTGGCAGGCAAGAGACACTGTGATTACTCCTGCCTTTTGTGTGTGCAAAACCAGTTGCTGGTGTAAAATATAGAGTGGCTGTCAATCTGGGCTGGAGTCTCTCATAGGCTCAGGAGTTATTGGTGGCCTGGAGGACAAGGACAGCTATCATATAAACCTTGTATTCTAAGACCAAGATAAAAGTTATCTCTGTCTTCAAGACAAAAATACAAACTTTTTCTTGCAGGATTTGGCTCAGTGGTAAAGTTTTCAGATTTGAGTTGACACAAATATCTGCGATCAGTCAAGTAGCTGGATAAAAAAGAGCATGCCCATTTCAGAAAATGTGGGGGATTAAAATCATTGACCCTAGGATGAAGCTATGGCCAGTCCAAGCTTTTCTTGCCTGGGGAGACATGAACTCATTTCCTGCACTGAATCCCACATATTTCCCACAATCTAGTAGACTACCATAGCAACCAGCCACATTTTTACTTTGGGATGATCTGCTTTTTACCCGAAAGAGATATTTACAGTTATCATTTCTGCTGAAATCAATAAAAAAAGTCTTCTTTGGCAATGCAAACTCACGCTGCTGAGAAACTTCCAGCAATGTTGTGGGCTGACGGTAAATTCACACAGCATTTGTTCTGAATGGGTACAGCCTGTGCAGGCACAAGCACACAGTGTTACTGTGACTTCAGGAGGAGCCATGGATGCACAAGCTGGGTGCATCTAGGAGCAGCCTACACATTAGGCAAATAAAGCATTTGAAATGGCTTTGAAGTGAACAGGCTGAAGTCTGCACATGCATTGGTGTAGTGTGGCTGTGAGCTGGTCAGTCACAGGCAGATGGGTAGAGATGGATGGATGCTGTGCAGGTGCTGCCCAACATCTCCTGCTCAGTGGATTACCAAAAGTCCTGAATCACGCCTTGTAGTCAAGTAGGATTTCTCTATTTTTGAGCAGTCTTGTCTAGTGGAAGTTGTTCCTGCCCATGACAGGTGAGTTGGAGTTAAATGACATTTGAGGTCCCTTCCAAACCAAACTGTTCTAGGATTCTATCCACATATACTGAACCCAAGGGAGACACATATTAGCAATCCTACATCATAGGCATTTATGTTTATGAGGGAAACAATGGCTAGAATGAACAAAACTACCAAAGGCAGAACAAAACAAATTAAAAATCAAGTGCTTGTTGCTTAGTCAGACATTCACTTGCTGAGTCAGACATTCACTTGCTGATCATTCAACTGCATTTAAAATGAGTGTGTGTTGGGGAGGTGTGTAACCAATACCCAGAACACCCAAAGTTCTACATTTCCCCTTAGTAGAAGGGTTCACCAAAGGAGCTGGGCAATACCTTGGTGTAAAGACTGTTTAAATTAGAGCTTTCTCTTGAATTCAAATCTGGAAGCTCCTTGCTCAACCACCAGATAGAGAAGCCTCTACTGATGTTGATTTTAGGTTGAGAACCTCAATCTTTTCATCACATCAACTGAGCAACCATGTGTCTAGACAGGACGTGATCACTGCTAAACTGAGCTCCAGTTGATCTGAAGATTTAAAGTCCTGCCATATTAATTTAATCTTGGGAAACCAAAAAAGTTTCTAATGGTCACATCACCAACCTTCCCAGGGTGCAAGGAGTACTTTGACAAAGCTCTCAGACACATGGTGATTCTTGGGCCTGTCCTGTGCAGGACCAGGAGCTGGACTGATGATCCTCATGGATCCCTTCCAACTCAGGATAATCTATGATTCTGTGATTCTACCATGGGTACAAACCTCTGGATTCAGGCAGAGGGCTAACAAGATTTATGATAACAAAACAAACTGGAAAATGTCAAATAGTGACTTCCTATAGATGATCTCAACTAAGCCAGTATTCCCTCCCCAGGCAGTTGTCTGAACAAATAGACTCTACCAGGCACTAAATGGGTTAAAATTTCTGGGGCAGTAGAAGTGCTTTGTATGACTTTGGTCCCTCGGAGTTAAAGGAAACTGTTAGCAGATGGATCCCAACTGATCTCTACTGGTAAGACACAGGAAGCAGAGAAGAAGCAGAAAAGCAGTCACAGACACAAAGCCCATGGCTTTATCCATCAAGTCCTACATCCAAAAGCAAATTGGAAGTCAGTGCAAGCTGCAGTGAATTGGAGTAACGTGTGTTGTTCGCCAGTTCTGCTAAGTAAGCAATCAATATATTTACTCCCTGGATAGAATACAGTTTTGCTGTTGTGACAGTGTTCTACTACTCTGTGAAGAAAAATGACTCCATGGAGTCTATGATCCCTATCTGGTCAGAGCCTCCACTCCTCATAAGATATTTTTAAAGATAACTGGAAATCATAAAGAATATTTGCACTGCACCAAAGCCAAGAAATTCAGATACACAATAGAATTCAGTGGCAAGTGAATATCCCAACCTATTTTACTGAGATACTGCCAAGTTATCTGGATAGTTTCAGCAGCATTCCTCACTCCTGCAACACTTGTAGTAGACAGAGTTTCCAGTGGATTCAGATGAAATTCAGCTTTTTTGCTTAATTTTGCTTCATATGTTTTTTAAAGGAAAATCTTATATTGTCAGTTTTTGTTGTTGTTTGTTTGTTGTTTTGCTTTTAATTTTGCTATTAATGCTTATTCATGTATCTGGCTTTATTTGAATGTTCTGAAAGCAAATTTATCTACTCACAGAGCTCAGGCTCAGGCTAATCAGCAAAAAGCAGTCACAAGGTAATCTTCCTTCTCATTAGCAATAGAGAAGGGAATGAAGAAATGGATGGACACTGACTTACAGCTAGAAGTGAAAAGAAATGGTGATGAGACATTTTTTTGCAAACCTACATCTTGGATAGAAATTTTCTGCATCCCCTCTAGGATAACATGGGAAGATGAGAGAAACAGAAGAGGAGAATCTTTTTGCTGGGAATCTCTTTAAGGACTTTGTAAAATCATGGCAAAATCAGACTAAAGGAATAGTCTACATTTTTGACCATTTCAGTTTGTTACTGGGAGATTAATGAGAAGAGTTTGAAGCAGAAGATTAATGTGGTCTATTCTTATAACCTGCTCCCCTACTCATAAATCTCCCATTATTACGTACGCACTGAGCAGCGTGTTGCTTCACCTTCTCTGTGACACCAGTCTGCCAACAGATCTCTTTCATTTGCTTCCCTGTACCTCCCAGAGGTCAATACCCAACTTAAATAATACCTACACCTCTCCCATCTGATATCCTCTTCTCCTCTGGCAACACCTCACCACCATTAATGAACAAAGAGTCCAAGAAAGGAAAAAAATTACACTTAAGGATCAACTCCTGAGAGTACAGCTATTTAAATACACTGCTGAAATCAACTAAAATTGTACAAAATTAATGTTTCTTTTTTGCTTCTCTCTCACTGGTAAGTTTTGTACTTAATTTTCACGTTGATGTCTTGGGAGGGATAGATTCACTGATTTTTCATTCTTGATCTCTTGCTCTAATGAAGTCCATGAGGTAACGTCACAGATGGCCACCACCACCTCAGCTGTCAAAGGGAAAGCTCCCATAAGAGGTAGAGCTGACAGCCCAGGTGGAATCTCATGTGCTTGAACTTCAGGCAGCATTGCAATTATAGCCCAAATACAGAGGAGAGCAGACACATCTCTCTAAGCACCTCATCACTGCTGATTCCCACAGCGTGCCTGGGAGAAGAAGAAATCATAGCTGCATTTTGATGTTATACAAAGATAAAGAACCAGCTAGATGAAGTGATTTATTTAGGGTCACTCAGAACATCTCTAGTTGAATCAGAAACAGAGCTTCAGTACCTGGAGCCCTGTTCCAGTTAACAGTCGTATCTGCCCAGGTGACAGACTACACTTTCACTCCACAGAATAACAAAATCAACTCTCCTGAATACACCCTGTTAGAAATGTTGTCCCCTGTAGCAAGATTGCAAGAGATTCACAAGCCTCCTACGTGCACAGAGACCAGAACAACCCTGCCAAATGCTGTCCTAAATTATTCTTGTGTAAAATTCATTGGGTACAAAACAGGAATAGTAGAAAAGGCAGAAGGAGATGAGCTGTTCTTGAAAGTTTTTTCTTATTATGCAAACACAGAGTCCAAAGATTTTCCAGGGAATTGTTGTGTTAAATAGCCACAGTTGTAAATGGTGAATTCATAAATGAATACAAATGTGTAGCTGTCATAACTGGCAGATGACACTTCCTGAAGGATAAGCTTGTACTCTTCCCCAGCGAAGGCGGCATGCAAGAGTTTCATCTCCTGAGACTTCTAATGTACAAATTCTTTGGCAATTCTTCCTAAGGCGGAACTGTTTTTAATTTAGAAGACGTCAACCTACTTGTACTAGTGGGAGAAATTAATAAGCCAAGGATGCAGGTTGGCTGTACTGTAATACTGAGTAGATATGTCTCCATTAATTGCAGGATTGCCTGTGTTCACTTAAAAGCTGTTCTGTCTCAGAAGTTATCGTGTTGCCTGTGCTCAGATAAAATTCCCTCAAGCTTCCAACACCTTTTCTGCTGCTGACCCCTCAGGGGTGGGTTTGTTTCATGTCTGCATGCTTCACATGCTGAACCATATATTTCTTCTCTCTGTATGGCACAGATATGAATATAGATAACCATATGTCCTCTAATACTAAACTGTGTTTGCTTTAATCTGTGCTAGACATTTAGAAAGGCAATTAGAGCAAAGAGAATCTGAAAGCTGTATTCAAGTGGGCTGGGTTACAAAAAAGTGTTTGGATTTATATTTTTCACCTGGTTGATATAACCAGCCCCTGTATGAAGCATCACTAAAACCAACTTTCTCCTCTGACCAGGCATGGACACTTCATGTTGCCTGAATACAGCCTTGATAAATTGGGCAGAGCAAGTCTGTGACAAACAAACAAAGAAAAAACAAACAAAAAAAATAATAAAAAACCCAACCAAACAAAAAAAGAAAATAAAGATATGCTTAAATTCACATTTCAGCTCTCAGCCTGGTACTTTTCTACCACCTCTATGACCTTTCTCCACCTGAACTCATCCAAAGGCCCTGTGCAGGAGTTGGGGGGGCATTTACTGGAGTTGTCAACTCATCCTTCAAGTTGGAGGAAATCCTTGGTCTAAAGGACTGGATGCAGTGTTTAAGCTTGCAGATGTTCTGGAAGATTTACAATGTGTGCATGTACATAAGGATAACCAAAGCCCTTCACTTTTCCCTACCCACTTCTCTGCATGATTATTCCACCCCAGTAAGCAATCTATTATCTGCTGGACTGACTTATTCCCCACATTTAGTAACTCTATTCATGCTACTAAGTGAATGATGCTCTCTAAATACCAGACATATATTATGTACAATTAACTTCCTAAATCTGTTAATTAAATCAAATTTTAAAAAAAAGATAAAAAGAAGATGCTTTCATTCTTCAGTGAAATTCTGTATAGTTCAACACACTACCAGGTAGTGGGTATTTTTTGCATTAATTTCTTTTTTTTTTTTCCTGAATAGAGATGAAGCCTTCCCTTGTGTACAAAAGGAGAAGATATTAATTTTTGGATGGTGCCGTATTTAAGAACAGAATTCAGAAGGTGCATTAACGTCAGAAATTCACCAAGAGTTTTGTTTAGAAGGTGATCTTCTATTAACCTAAGTATTCTTAAGAATAGTTTAAGCAAATGGAAAACACATTATACTAAGTTACAATCAGATCATTTAATATTATATGAATATTTGTTTTTACTGAGGTTGATTTGAGATTTCTAGTCGGGTTTTGATCTTAGGTAGCTTAAAATGAAGTCAGTGAAACTACCCCAGATTCCCACTGACATCCATAAATAAGTTTTCACTTGTTTGGTTGGGGTTTTTTCTGGCCATTGGAAAACTCTACATAAATGGTGGCAGCTTTCATGGGGAACAGTGTTATAACATAATCTTTCATATATTACAGAAAAACCCCAACAACCCACCCTTACAGAACTTCTTTATTTATGGTATAAGTTGTCTAAAGGATGTGCAATCAAGACTCTGCAAAAATGAACCATATTCTTTTTTTAAAAAGGACCAACCTTTCAGGTCTGCAATTATTTGAGTAACAGAGGAAATTTCACACCCCTATGCAGGAGCTTGCCATTGACTCACAATTATATCCTTTTATAGTGTGGTCTAGTATTTGAGATGACACCAGACCAAGACTCAGATGTTTCACTGAATTATTTATGACCTGGGACAGATACACCTGCTCTCCCTGCCTTTCTCACTTCTCACTCTTTGTATGTCACTCTTTTTCAATGGGACCTGTTTAGGCAGAGATTTCTTTCTTTATGTGTAACACCAAGCACCAGGAAGCTCTGGCTTTAAGCAGAAACTTTAAAAAAGGAATATCAACAATAAACAACATCCACTACACAGTACAAATGGCTGCAAAATGGTACATAGAAAAACAATGTGGAAAAAATTAATTTGAGATATTTAAGGTTCAGAAAATTTGATGATTCAGTCTAATTGGGTGCATTAAACAAACTATATTCAAGGGATATGCTCCTGGCATGCTGTAAAAGACTTCTTTTCCTCTTTTTAAAATGAGAAATCTGGTTAATTAAATTTACTTACTAAACAGCTTGTATTACAACAGTAGAAAATGACAGATGTCTTTCATAAAATTAGTCATATTGTGGTAATTTTCCCCTCTCCCCCAAACATTGTGAGATTATGGGCATATTGTCTCCTGTTAAAAAGCTATCTGTCATAATTGGTAACGAGTTCCATGCAAAAATGTTCTGAAAGAAAAGGTGTTCTGCGTGAAATGTAAAAAAGTTTTCTTGTGACAGATTTTCTCTTTGCCACTATATTCTGTGGGCTGCTAGCTGCTTGCAGAAAACTGCATAATTTTAAAGGCTTTTACTTATAAAGGCCAATCATGTATTAATTCATTTGGTATTCATTGAGAGACCTTTAATCATGATGGATTAATTTATTAGAAATGCGGATATAATATGTTATTTCATAATATCACTACTGTAATTTAGCAATTAAACAGTCTGTTATTATTTCAATCACTGCCCAGATCTGTATCATGATACAGTATTTTGCTCCACGGTGAATTATTTTATATTACATATAGGACAATGGATTTTTTTGAGAGTAAACCTTTGGGAAAGCAGAAATTTATACGATAATACTTGGCTCTGATAGTCTGCTTTGTCTCTGAGATGATCCATCCGAAATACTTAGAGCCAGCAAGTCAGAAGCTTGCAGTGATTACAGGTCTGATCCAAAGCTGGCTGAAATCAATGATGCACTCAGCACCTTGGACCCTTTTGTGAGTGAGAGGGGTGTAAATACTTATCAGGAAAAGGATGTGGAGAGGCCAAAAATCAGGCAGGTGCACCAATTAAATGCAATCTGAGCTAACAAGCAGGAATGGTCAGATAGTAGAAAATTTAACCTGTTGTTTGAAAATTTAACCTGCTGTTTTTTGAAAGCTGAGCAAGTGCTGACCTGTATTCCTGTTCCACTAGACAGAAAAATACAGAGCTTCCCAAAGGACCTGGGATGAGGCCATTTTACCTCCATTCTTAAACTGCATTCTTTCACAGTTCTTATGCTTTCTGATACTTTCAACTCAGAAGAAGAATCGGTGCACATTTATGCTGATCCAATTTTACCAGTGTCAGATGTTCAAATATTACAGTGACCCACATGGAAAGGCCCTGGGGAGAATCTGGATCAGAAGAATAATTTCCTTATTACAGATGTGCAAGCTATGGTGCTTGGAAAAGAGATACTTTGATTTGGTACCTACAATTCATGAAGAAAAATAAGAGGTAGAATTTCTGGAAAATGATACTCAACCATTTCCCTTTGTTCTAAACATTTGGCCTCATTTCTTTGTCCATCATGTGCTGTTTACATGTTGGAATTGACATCATAGCAGCATACAACTGATACAACTGCACCAACTGCCAAAAGTTCTAAACCTTTTCTTTTCTTGTTCTTATTTTTTTGAAAGGGGGGGGGAAAGGTGGTAGAAGTGCCAAGTCTGTATCTCTGGCTGGGCACAGGAGAACAAATTGATCTGTTACTTTGAGCTCATTTTTTAGCCTCCCTCTATTGACATTTAAGTAACTGATTCTTCTCCATCATTGTTAGCTGTCTTTTTTCCTGCCTGTCAAGAGCTTGCTAAATTAAGATTCACAGCCCAGGATAGTTTTCATATGAACCCAGAAGGAGTCAATATGTTTACCCAGATAAATGGTTATTTTACAAGGTAGTGTAAAATGCATAATTTTCTGTTGTATACAAAGCCATGAACCACAATCCATCATGAGTGACTCATTTAATCTCTGATGTATCAATGGATGCCTTCTTCAAAGAGAAATCTGGAATAAGTGGTTCACATTAGGAGATCTGGAAAAAAGCTGCACAGGGAGCAAGTGAAGCTACCAGAATCAAAATGATGGTAATGTATCCTTGATCATAAGACAGAGATCACAAAATCCTCTTAAACCCTCCAGTGTATCACCCTCCCTTTCCAGGATTCAGGCCCTCAAAGGCATTTTCTGCTGCTTTTCCTTCTCACATTTGGACTGGATAACAGAGCTATCTGCAACCGGAGATGAGGAGCATTTTTACAGGCTAACAAATCTACTAGAACCAATGGTTTTAATCTCTCCTTGGCTACAAAATCAAATCCAAGTTCTCTGCAGGTGCAAATGGGATCTGCTCCACTGCCTTAGGTGGAGTTTCACTCATTTACACCATTAAAGAATTTGGCACCGAGGATGTTGAGATCAAAAGGTTCCAGTTGGCAAAGGGATGTGCAGAAGAGAATCTGTCTGGGGAAATATTCTGAGAAGACTTATCTATCCTGTGAAAAGAGAACTTACCTCACCCCAGAGGAGTCTGGTATTGATAAATCCAAATTATCCTAAATTCTGGGACATCTCCTCTGACCCTGCTAATTCTAATCTGGACAGGACATTTTGGAAAGCCTGCCAAAACCCTGCAGAAGGAAAGCATATTGGTGTGCTCCTCTATGTGAATTTTCACATCATCATATCATATACATATTTTGTGGTTTTTTTTCCCACTGATATAACAATTACTGGTGGTCTGCATTGTTCATTTAATAAAATGAGGTTTGGAACATACTCTCTGATAGCTGCTTGCACAACACACACCAAAATAAGTAACATTATTAGTACATGTGTCTGCATGGTGCCACTACTCCATTGCCAGAAGTAAATTTCACCTAATTTGGAGTTCCTGCACATGCAACAAAGCTTTTGCTATTATTGTTTCAGAGACAGCTAAGAAAGATCTGTAATTTAATTTAAATAATAATAATTTTGGTAAATACAGGAAGCAATGAAACATAAAGACTCGTTTAGAAAAAATTATCAAAACTAACATTTAAAGTGAGAATAACACAATCCCCAGTCCCTCACCCCCTTTTGGACTTTAACAAAAAGACAGCATCAGTATATTTACACTTTTATATCTTTGGATGCTTGTTCAGAGTCCAGTTTGCTCCTGGACAAGGATGTATTGATGAGTACCTGGAGTGTTTATTTGGATGGACGTGCTTGGTCTGAAAGCCAGCTCCACTCTAGCAGCCCTTATCCATTCTCAATAGCTCTGTACCAACCTTTAGCCTTTAGCCTTTCCTCTAAGGAAGGCATAATTCTTGCCTCAGCCCACACTCTTTCATGTAGCAGGAGGATTCTGCACCATGTTGGATCAGGTGTTTGTCCAAGTCACTGTCCTGTGTCCATCACTGGAACTTAATGCATGCCAGAGCAGGCTGTAAGAGCAAACCAAGCTTACAGTACTTTCCCATCTTCCCAAAATTCCTGGTTCAGGGATGCTCTTTAGCTATATCAACACACTGAGCTTTTATTAGGCAGTTTAGGATATGCTTTTGTACTTGAAAGTATCTGACTTAGTCTGTACAGACACCTGCCAGAAATTATTCCCACCTCTTATTTTCAGGTCCCCTCTAACAGGGTGGGTAAAGTCTGAAATTGAACCTGGCTGAAGTTGAAATCAGAGCCTGTGAGTATCCTGGGGAACACTTTCCCCTTGATATGTGTTTCTACTAGTTATGTCTACTCTGATATAAAGATCCAGACCAGGAACATGGCCTAAGGACAATTTCCTGACCATTCACAGACCTTTAGTCAAAAGCCTGCTCCCCTGCAGAGCTTTGGGTTGTGCCAAATGTCAGTGTCTAAAAGATTCCAGGTTTTGGGCTGGGGGACAGCAGGTACCCCAGGCAGGTTGGATGCTGGCAGTTCTGCCTGGTGCTGGAGGAGTGTGTGCAGATGGACACAAGCTGCACCAGCCCAAAACTTGGGGCTACAGAGTGCTCCTTGGCTGTTTTCCTGCTAGGACTGACAGAACCCTAGAGACTTCTCCACAGCATATTCACCAGCAGCAACATGAACCACTGCTATCACCAGGACTTTCAAAATCAATTTTACCACCTTCCCAAGAACAAGTTTTCTCGCTCTGGAAAATTAATTTTAAGACAATGAATAAAGCTGCATAAAGAAAAGTGAAGGGATGGAGGATCTTTCAAAATGGTCCCCAAACTAGTTTTGCAGCATGTGAAAATTGTTCCTTTTGAAGTGTTTCCTGTCCTGCTTCAATGTCATTTATTCTGTCCTAATGTATTTTATGAAAGTCAAGCAGAGAAATACATTTGTATAAGACAAACCACTAGTAAGGGTCATAGACTTACATTTTTATTTTAATAAAATCTTTGAAGACTAACTCATACAATTTGTGAATCACACCTCCTGGGAAAGACTTCCCAGAGGTTTTTAATAATTTGAAGTATGAAGCTGACTGGAAATACCAGAAAAAAGAGCGGCTTCTGTATGCTCACTCTTGTATTCAACCAAAGATAAGTAACTACATCTCAAAATTATATTCTTATACTGATGAGAGAGAATAACACAAAGAAATTTAAACTATGACAATGTTTCCCTGGCTTATGGTGCTCAAATTGTCTTCATATACAGAAGGGGTTGATTATCCTTGTCTAAATTATACAGATTTTTCTTAGATAAACACATCAACTGATGATATTTTTATCTTTCTCAAAAGAAGGTATCTGTGCAGTAAATTAGGAAATGTCCTGAAAGGCAAAAAATATGTAGCTGAAGAAAAAGAGTACAAGGACAGAGTATTGCCTTCCAGAAAATCACTTTATTGGCTTATTTGAAATCAGAGTTCTCGATTCTGCTGCAAAAAAGCAGCAGCTGGATCATTGTATGTCAGCAGCTAGAAATGGGGAGGCACAGAATGGAACATTATAGATGTCTAAATGCTCATATTCTTTATTATATCTGTTACTACCTGTCTGCACAAAACTTTGAACCTCTGTATCCTTGTAAGCAGGTTTTAAACCAAAACAGGGTGCTTTGCTGCAAGAATGCAGTTAACCTCTACTACATCCTTATGGAACATGGTTATCCCTAGTGTAGGAATTCCTACCTGAATTTTTTTGTCTGTATGGTATTAAAAAGTTGTACATGTTGGATCAGTAGCTTCTATCATCCTTAAAGATTAGTGGGGCTCTAGAGGCTATTATTTGTCATTCTGGGGCAGATGCTCAGCAGGCGTCAAGGAATCACTCTGATTTATATCAGCAGAAGGTTTGGCATGCTTATGTGAGTGGAACTGAAGTTGTTCTCAAGAAAACTGAAAATGAGCATGAATGTAAAACCCCCTACATTATAATGTAGTTCTGTTGTGGCTTCTGTGCCCAAAACAAGATAGTTGCTGTGTTTATTAAAGTGTGCCTATTTTTCCTCTGTTTATTCATAATTAATTTGCTAATAAAGATTTCAGCTGTGGTGGAGTCTTTATCCTACCATAACAGGAGCTCCTGGCTCCATAACTTCACTGGAGTAACCCACATGATGAATATGAGCTGAAGAATAGAAGCCAAATCCTTCTAGGCTCTGCATATTTGTGCCTGCCAGAAAAATTATGGCCAGTCAAAGGAGCAGGGGATGGAAAGAAGCCACCTCTGCTTTGGCACTTCTCAGAGCCCACTGAGGCCACTGTGCAAGCCTTTATACTTGGACCTACATAAGTACCTTCTGAAGCTGGATACTGGAATTGGGGGGCAGCAGGGACTGGTTATTTATGAGTTGCTTAGCAGTCCCTGATGCAGCAGTTGCCATAAGGCATTGCCTCAATGCAGCTTATTCATACTCCTGGCAAAAGTTATCCTCCTGGGAAGCCGTGTTGCTGGCCAGGAAACAAGAATACTTTGCTGCTTCTCTCACAGAGTGTGAGTATATTCACTCTGGGGGCAGTTTTAGCATTTGGCCCTGTGCCTGGACATCATTGCAATTGGGCACTTGCACTGCATACAGCCACACTGACCAGAGCCTGTGCTGAAAAGATTACATTCCCCTAAACCAATATTTTCAATTTGTCCCTCATGCTTCTGACAGCAGGAAAGTTTTGGAAACACCACAGGCTGTGTTTACTGTAAACAACATTACCTGAAAAAATCCTGGTGATTATCAAGAGGTTTCGTGAAAACAAGAGGATGCAGAAATGCAGTCCCCTCTAGTGAGCTAGGATGAGCTGAAGTGAAGCAGTCAAACAATATGTGCTCCACATGGCACAAAAGCTTAAACTGCATTTAAGCAGCTATTCTAAAAAAGCACCTGGTTAAAGAGTTTGGGATAAACCACCAGAACTTGCTTTAAATACAGGGAAGAACGTCTTCCTACTTGTACTGTAGCTTTACTTTTTATAAATTTAAAAACATCGTCCTACCTAGAAATGGGACTGACAGCAGCCAGCAGCACCATGTGTGAGAGTGAATCTAAAAGGGGAGGGAGCTTTGAGTTTCAAGATGCAAGTACTTCTATTCATGTCACAACTGCAGTTAAGAGCTTTGCTATATCTGGACATAAAGGAATATTAAAAAAATAAAAAGGGTAAAAATCTGAATATCACTGCATTTATGCCATCTCATGGTGTTTGATTTCTAGAAATTGCATTTGGTAGTTTTCTTGGCAGAGGCAACTGACTGGAAAAAATGTGATGATATTCCAGCAACAAAACATTTTCTTACTTGCTGAGCTTAAAACATTTCTGTGGTTGCAGTGGCTTCTATGGGACTATTCCCATACCATAATCTTAAGCACATAATTAAGGGCTTTACTGGATCAGTGCCTGAAAAACCAATGCTGATTTCTATTGAATGCACATTATGTTAGGGACCATTTGTAAGCTCATTAAAATGAACAGAAAGGATTCAGCAGATGCTGGGCCAAGGCTTGTCTCAGGACTTTCATCAGAGAAACAACATTGTCTCTTGTTTACACTTTCACAGGTCACTGAGTTCCCAGACTCTGAGCCATTGATTACATCGTATTATCAATTAAGTTAGAGATTTGCCATCAACTTAAATGGGTACAGGGTAGAGCATAAGGAAATAAACAGTAGAATCATGTTCAGTTTGTGATTCTGGGTATTAGGTACTTAAAAACAAACCAAAAATCAGGCATGCTCATGAATTCATGGACACAGAATAGCCTCTGCTTTAGTGCACTGTGTGTGCCATGCAATGTGTCTGTGAATGGACATGGCATTTCTTTGGAACAACACTGGACTATCATCCTTCCTCCCCTTCCCTCAATCCCCAAACTCATAAATCCTCCATTTGTCTCACCTGTAGCTACAACAAAGCTGTTCTCAACAGTATTAACATCTGCCATGGTCATTCTTCTGGGGTGAGAAAGGCAGAACATTTTCATTGCTTGTTCATTTGTGAACACTAGTTAAGTAAAGCTGTCACTTGTGTCCAATTATGGCTTAGTATTTTATAGCACAGTCTCCTTCCTAAAGCTAAACTGACACGGCCAAGCCCCATTTTATAGGCATTCTTAAATTCTTCCAAGCCATATTTAAAATCCTTATGCTCAGAGATGGCAGGTGCCATGTGTTTTCACAGCTACATTAACAAATGCAATTTTGTGGCAACTTGACCACACCAGTGAAGCAGTAAATTTCTGTAATCTCTCTGGTTAAGAATTTCACACAGGACTTTGCTGGGAATGTGTAAAGCCCATTAGTACAGGAGCATGATGAAGATAAAATTAAAATACCTTTACAGTAAAAGCCAAAAAAGAGTGAAGTCTGGGGATTTTTCTTTTTTTGCTGCTAGAGCAATGAAACGTGTCAGAGGGAAATGCTGAAGGAGAAAAAAAGTAGCTTCACTGAGCTCACAGCCTACTCTCCTTCTCAAATGACTGCCACCAATTTAGGTGAGAAGAGGTAATTTGGCTTACACAAATGCTAACACAGGCTTATCCTAAAGCATAGCTGGGATGCAAAACTTTAGAAATATCTTTTCCAAACCCTTGCTCCCTGTTACAGTACACATATTGTCTTCACAAATGTTTATGCAGGCTTAGGGAGATGATAGCCAAAACCTCCCCAGTCCCAAGCCCGTGCAGGGTGCAGTGGTGCATCTGCCCACCAGTGCAGCTGTGTCACTCACAGGATCTGCATTGTCCAGCATGAGCTCTGTTATTGGAGCTGAGACACCTTGGTCCTGCTCAGGGCAGCCCAAGACCCCCCAGCTCCAGCACCTCAGCCACTGTGAGGGTTGGGAGAATAATTTACCACTCCCAGAACCAGAGGGTCTGTGCAGCATCACTGGACCATTGACTTGACCTGCTTTGGAAAGGGATCTGTGCTGAAAAATGGGGCTAATGCCACTTTCCGTTCTCCTGAACATTTCTCCCAACTCCTCAGGATCCCACAGTGAGTCTGAGGGATACCAGTGCCAGAGGAGAGTTTTATACACTGAGACAGACCCCCAGGACTAAGTTTCTGAGACGGATGTTAGATTTTGCAAGAAGGTATTTCAATTACCAGCAGAAAGCAAATGGAAAGCAGCAGTTGAATCTTGCACAAATTCCTACATTATTTTTTTTTCTAACCTGAAAGTTATTTCAGCAGATATTTCCCAGATTTCCTATAAAATCATGTGAGCTATGGATTTTTTTTCTTTAAAAAAGAAAGATGTGATTCCAGCATAATCACCTCACTCCAGGGGATGGATCTCTTGGAAAGTAAAGAAAAGAAACTGCTCAGAACGCAATACTAGCCAGGGAGGGAATTGCATTATGGATTGCTCACAGAGTTCTTCAGCAGGTTTTACCACAGGGTTTGGACAAAACTCGTAAAGAGCACAGATCAAACAAGAAAACATCTTTGAATGCCTATAGTTTGTTGTGAGACAGAAGTGCTCTGAAAGATACACTTAGCAGCTCACTCAGTCTCTTAAGACTTCACACAAGCACGCAGGGCTGGGGAGATCAGCTCACACGCTTCTGCACGCTGTGTGGCTGCACTGAAACCAAAAAGGCTATTCAGAGAGTGGCCCTTTGAAGTCAGTGGACTTTTGTCATTGATTTTGAGAGGCCCAGGATTTCATTCTCAGTGTGTAAGGTTAAGCATGTGTGTAAGTCCTTACAGGATCAAGGACTTAAATGTGTAAACCTGTTCAGC